GCCGCATGAGCACACTTGTATTAGAGGGATAAGCTGTCAGCTTATTTATTTTCCTGTTTTAGGACTCATTGCAAGGAACATTTGCATTGATAAGGGTGCTCTTAGAGATGGGAAAGGACTTAATACCTCTGTCAGAAGGAGATTTTCATTTGCTTTATGATTTCTGAAGGGGTGTGCATCTAAATTTCAGCATTTCCCAGCAGAATTGGGCTGGCTGACCAAGGGAGCAGAAGCAGGGGGAGCTGGTGTTATTAGGACCCTGAGACACCCACCCCCCAGCCAGGAGTTTGGGTGACTGCCCCTGGGTGAGAAGGAGCCATCCCAAGAAGGCTGTCTCTCCCCAGCCAGCCTGGAGCTACTTTGCTGGGACGGGACAAGTGCACTGATGGCCCTGCCAGTGTGTTTACTAGTACCACCACCACACTGTGTCCACACCAAAATAAGGTGATTTCCAGATTTTTGTTGTGTGGTGTTCTGGCAGCTTGGCACATGGCAGAGTGACCATGCACTGGCCCACAGACGTCTTTGGAGACCATCTAGCAAGACTAAAGTACTGGAGTTGAGTGACTCCAAGGAACGATGGTTAACAATAAAGATATTTTAGACTTCGTTTAGATATTTGTTCTCAGCTGTCCTTCAAAAAATATTATACTTTAAAAGGCAGCATGATAAACATCTCCTTAGAGTTATGACCTGAGCCAGAAGGTTAATAATTCTAATAATCCTGTAGGTCTTTGTAAGATCCAGGAAGGTTGGTATGATCCTAGCACCAGTACACAGAAGTACAACCAGCAGCTTCAGGGAGGTTTGTCTGGCCTTTGTCTGGCTGAACACAGAGCATTTGGAGATGGTTCATGCTTTGGGTCATTAGGACTCAATCCATCAAAAGACAAAAGACATGCATGTTACTCCTGTCCTTCCCATCATAGAGGTCTTTGAGAAAGGGCTGTCCGTCAGGAAACCCAAGTACAAACTTGTGGGAACTTCTCTGCCACAACTAGATCTTGGCTCAGGTTTCTTCACCCCAGAGACCTCCAGAGCTAGCACCCCAAATCTGAAGACTGCAAGGCAAAGCCTGGTGTCTCATGAGCACTGTTAACACAGATGCTCTACAGCTCATGACTGTTAGAGATCCCGCCTTACAGCCATGCATTTATTTGATGTATTTATTAATGAAGAATGCATGAGGTACCCAAAGATTTTCTACATCCTTGATACAAGCCTCAACAGATTTCTAGGCAAATATTGAAAGGGGGAAAAAAAAGCTCAGCATCTATATTTTTATGTTTTGCTCTCTGAATGAGGTTAGTTTTAATCTTTTCAATATATGCTCCAGTATTTTACTGAGCTTCTCTTTTAATGGGATTATTCAGAAATAAGCTATTAGGTTTTCCAGTTCCTATGCTACCTTCATTCCTCTGGTAATATTCATGGGTAGACAAGCCTTAATATTCATTACAAAGGCAAACCATTTAGCCTCCAAGACAGAATGCAGGCCCAGTAAAAAGCGAATTATCCTTTCTTGATGTTATAAAGAGCTGCTTTCAGTACGTCCTTCTTAGGAGGCTGTAATACTTAATCAGAGCAATGCTGTGCCATTGAAATGGCCATCTTTTACCAACTTGAAATGAGGATAAAATCTGCAACTGCTCCATTTAAAAATAATGCAGTTTCAGGTTTGTGGGCATTACTTCTACTCCAAAGTGCACACAGCAGCTTACTACATGGTCATCCACAAAAGCATTCACTTTGGGCTGGAGCAAGCTGTTCTGCTGATGGAACGTCACGGTTCCCTCGGGTAGCCACGGACCTGCTCCTCACTAACCGCAGCATGGGCCACTGCCATGAAACTCATTGCTGAGTAGGGCTCATCCTGGGCCGAGATCAGCAAGGTTAATTTGGCTTAAAGTTAAAGCAGAAGGAACCTCATGTTCCTGACGTCCCCTTCCTCGTGTTTTCTCCCCGATCAGCTGCGGCACCTGGTTAGGCATCTGCGGGTCTGTGCTTGAAAGATAACTAAGCTGCAGCGTATCGGTCATCGAGTGGGGAAAAAAAAATAACCCAAGAGCACATTTTCTGCAGCCCTTGTTGGCACTCATGCTGTGCGATCGTAACTTTTTTATAAGCAGGAGCCCGGCACCAAGAACATGACTCTGCAGTAGAAAAAAGCGCAGTGCCCAACATCTGACATTAGTTTGCAATGATCCAGCAAAGAAAGTGGAGCTGAGCCGGTGCCTCTTTCGCCTGCCAGGCTACGTGGCTTTGTTTCTTCAGCTCAGCATCTCAAGCGTTTTGGGAGGCAGATTTAATCCGCTGGCTGCTGCAGCCCTCTCCTGGCCACACAGACCCCACCGCGCTCCTGCACGCTCCGACCGACGTTCCGCGTGGGAGCACAGCGTATTTGAAACAGCGCAACAAATAGTTATTAATTAGCGTATTCCTCCAAGAATAAATATATAAATAAATGGAGCAGACACTTAGGATAGGATTTGTTCCAGGTGTACAAGCAGAGTCGTTGTTAAATGATTCGCTTTTCGAGAATCAAAAGACAAATTACAGCTAAAGCATTAAGGAGTCACGCTTTTAATGGGGTGCCCTGTTTCATCTCCCTAGGCTGTCACTAAACAGTCTGCTTTGAAGTGCTCCTTCTCTTTCGAGCATTTGCGCATTGATTTACAATCGTGTGGGTAAGTTTTGTGCTCAGGGGTTTTGCTTGCTGGAAATGTGTCTGTCTGCTCAGGAAACTCCAAGGAGGGGTGAAAACCTCTTGGGTTGGGGAAGATCTGGGGGAACTTGGACTGTTCCAAATTTCTGCAAAGACTAACAGGTAGGTGGTTCATTGGAGATTGAAAAGCAAGTCTGGTTTTTGCTATATTTTCTTTTTCCTTTTAATCTGCCAGGGAGAAACAGAGACATCACTTACACTTGGAAAATAAATTGTGAATTAATAGTGGAAGGAGAACATTGATGGGAGCGGTGCTGACAGCCCGTCCAACAGCCCAGCCGTACGCTCCCTGCCCAGTGCTGTCAGGGAGCACAATCAAAGGAGCTACCTATGGAATAAAAAATAAAATGGATCAAAATGAAGAACTTGGGCATAGGTATGGGGTACTCTGGAGGAGGTCGTCCAGTTTTGATTGATGTTTCTTAGACTGACAGCAATAGTACTTACAGACCAGAGTGCTGCAGTCCTGCAAGAGGGATGATGTTATGCTACCTTTTTCTCATTGCTTTCCTCTTTTTTTCCTTACAGAAGTTTCAGAGGGAACATCTGCAGGAGAAAAGGCTGTATTTCAAAAAGATATGGAAAAAACCACACCAAAACTAAAAAAAAAACAAAAACCAAAAAACACCCCCAAAAAAGGAACACAAAGCGGCGTCATGACGACTGTGCGAGCTGACGTTACCTTTTCAGATGGGAGCACTGCTACCTCGGGCAGTAACTGCATCCGGGCAGACAGACGGTGTGTGAGATGGGGTAGATTTAGTGGGATCAGTGGGGCTCTGGGTGACAATGTCATCTAGTATTTTGCAAGCCAATGTGCCAACCCCTGTATCTGTGATGCTGGAACAAGCCTTTTGATCGACACCAGGCATCAGCAAGGCAATGGTGTCTGAGCCCCTTCAGGTGCACGGGGGCACAGGTTTTCCAGCTTAAGCATGGAAAAATCAATTTATAGAGGTGAGTTCTGTGCCTGCAGGTATTTTCCATCTGAGCTGGTGCTTCCTGCCCCGAGAGCTATTGCAATGAGGCCGGTGGGACTGTAGGCCCCTTTCTCCCCATGTCCCCAGCCCAAGGTCTGCACAGCACCATGGCCCTAAATACAGCACCAAAGCTGACTGCTCTCCCGTGCAGGGTCTCCCTTTCCACCTCCTTCAGCCCTCTGAACAACTCAGGACCCTGTGGAAATAGTCTTAACTTACCCATATTAACATCTTAACCATATACATGATTTTTAAGTAACATAGGTGCTGCTTTGCTGTGCTGCAGCGATGCTGCTTCGAGTGAGCCAAGCTGCCTCCCGTGGCTGCAGCACAGGGACGAGCTGCCGCTCATGCCCAGCTCTTCCATGTTCTCAGCCTCATCTTTCTCACTTACAAGAAACCTTTAGTGCTTCCATAAAACAGTATTTTGCATTTTTTTTGTTTGTTTTTAACTAAATAACCTCTTCGCTCTTCATTTTCTGTAAGCCCACACATACAGAACAAGATGTGACTTCCTTGGTTTAAAATTGTTTTTATTTTACATGGAGAAAAACAGTAGTAAGAAAGTAACAAAATTAATATCTGCCTGAAAGAGCACAGGGCAAGTACCATCCTGGGATTCAGAAATTCTCCAAACAAAAAGGCTGATAAATTTTTAAGACATGTCTATATTGCGAGATGCTGAGACGCTTGGGACAATAAATACCTACGTTGATAAAACCATGTGAAATAGCCTAGCGCAGAGCAACTCACAGCTCAGATCTGGGTGCAGTGAGGCACATTACTTGGGTGCAAAGCAGCGGGGACACCTTGCTGGTTTTGCCCTGGCGCAGCTGGAAGCAGTGGGTCTGTACACAGCCAGCACGGGGGCTGCAGCCTCCTCCCCGCTGCAAAGCGGCACCTGACTTATAGACACATCTTTGGGTATGTAAACATGCTGGCTATATAGAAAAGTGGAAATCCCAGTGTCAAAATCACAGACAAGATGCATACCATTTAAAAAAAGTCCATGTAGGCTTTTAGTGAGATGGAGCTCTTTACTTTCTGGAAAACATTCTCCTAGGGCTGGACTAAATAACCAGGGTGAAATCTTGGCCCCGTTGACCTCAGCGGGACAAAAAGCTCATCCCCAGTGTTGCAATGTCCGCTGACCCTGGCTGGGAACTGGGGGCTGTGCCTGAGCCCCACTTTCTTACCTTCTTGCCTGCAAGTTGCTTGCTTTCTCCACTATGCCCTTCTGCAACCACATCGCCCCTACACCCACCCTAACTTGTCTTCTGCAGTTGGTCCGGACTCTAGGAGTCAACCACAATCATGCTCAAGTTGTTGCTGAAGATGATCCTCCCGTCCTTTTTGCTGCTGCACTCGGGCTGGCAGAGAGCCTCCTGCAGCCGCCGCCGCAGACCCGGGGGGGCCGTGCCCAGGAAGTTTTTTGTCCCCGTCAGGAAATCCATCATGCGGCTTCCATCCGGGTCCCCCTCGATAAAGCACTCGGTGATATCCCAGCCCGACGGGAATTCATAAACGCAATATTCAACACCCAGTCTCTTTAAAATATCCGTGATGCCGTTGGAGGTGATGTAGTGGCCGCTGTCAGTGGAAGGCAAGCAGTGTCTGTACTTCTTCCATAAGCTGGCCCATCCGCTACTGTCTGCCAGAGCAGGAGGGAAGGTTACTTTTGCAAAACCAAGGCAGTCAAACAGCAGCTAATGCAACTACCAAATGAGTTTGAAATGTTCCCTTGCTGATGGCCCAGACCTTGCCAGAAGCAGAAGAAGAGCTTTCCCCATTCCTGAGTCCATTTATAAACATCAGTGCCCAGAGAGGGGTAAAACTGTGATTTCCATCAGCCCTCCTTCCAAAACTCTCCTGTTTAAAGGAAACTCCAAGGAGTGTCCAGCACTGGATTTCTCCAGAAGTAGGAGTACACACAGAGATATCAGTGCACTGAGCCTGCACATGCATGCTACCTGTTACCTGCCCCTTTGATAGAATAGTGTGGATGTTTTTATACATTGCACTTCAACTTTAAGTATACATCAAAGAATATATACTCGAAAAGTCAGTCCCAGCTAGCAAGGGAAACATCCCCAGAAATGCTAATGGGAGTTTTAATGGCAAATGTGGAGGAGTGTGCTTTATCCACTGCACCACAAGCTGGGGATCTGTGAATGGCACACTAGAAAAAGACTTTTTTTTTTTTTTTTAATAAGTGCCATGATGTAAGTGCTTCTTTTTTCTCTTAGTAATCCTGCTGGGATCTGGGTCACCGCTGTGTGGAGGGAAGACCCCCAAAGAAGGGTCCTCTCAGAGCTCAGCTTCACCATGAAGGATGACCGACCCTCGTTCATTAATAGCCACACTTCTCACTAGCCAGTAATTTCACAGCAGGAGGTCTCTGCAAGTTAGAGAACAATTCACCTACTCCATAAGCAGGGTAGCAAGAGCACGAAGGCTATGCCTGTGCAGTCCCATCAGACATTGGGGTCCAAGAAGCTAAGCCCAAGATCGCTTCTTCCCTATGAAATACAGCATTTGTTTTATTTAATTAATAAGCACTACTAAAACCCCCAGATGAGTATTTGTGATTCTCATACTACACAAAGCTCTTCAAAACACCAGGAAATAAACAAAAAATAAAAGGCCCCTACCTGATAAAATTATGATCAGGAGTTTCCCATGATGGTCAAGGCAGCTGTGGAAAAACTTGATAGTACTGGGAATATCCTCCACACGGTACAGCATCTGGAAGGGACGGAGTTACACACGCCATTATTCCTCCTTCACAGTGCAACGGCCCTTCGAAGCCTTAAACCCTTTATCTACAGAAAATACGTGCAGAGGAGAGTCCCCTGGTTTCCGTGACCGGTCCTTATCACCAGGGGCATTTCTTGGCCATATGTGGGCCACGGGCAGGCTGGATCTCTTCCGGACAGCAAGGAATCTGCACCGGGACAAAGCAGGGCTCATCTCAAAGGCTGCCCTCGGGGCTTGTAACTTAGCCCTTGACCCAGCCACCAAAACTCTGAGACGCTTTCCAGCTGCAAAATCAGATCTTATGAAATGAAAGCAAAATGAAATTAAAGAAAATTGGGGGGAAAAAGTAACTAAAGGAAGAGAATGACAGATTTTTTTACAGAATATAATTGGTACGTACAACATCAGTGTCATCAGTATCAGACACAGCAGCATAATTTCTGACCCAAAACCTGACGCAGGTGTTCATTCACTAACCTTTCCCTTCGGTGCCATCCAAACTACTCTGATTAAGCCAAAGAATTCTAGCTTTTTGCAGCAGCAAACTTAATTGTTGGCCTCTGTGTGACATGTGATGGTCTGAGACTCTTCTTGTTTTATTACCCGCCATACACAGTTAAACCAGTACAAACCAGGGTGGATAGGGAATGGGGTTTGGCATTTGTAGAGCTGCTGCAGAAGTTGTTGCTCATGGGACAATTGTGCTCAGCTCTGCTCCCCCTAACTTGATGCATACAGCAGAAATGAAGGGAGTAGTTAAAGTTAGTTAAAGCAATAGTCCATTACCTGGATCATATGGATGAAGTCGAATTTCTTATGTGCACCTTTCTCTTTAACCTGTTGTTCGTACTCTGCGGAAGTGAGCTGGTGCCAAATAAAAGAGACATTCTGCAGGTCTGGAGCTTGATTCACCAACTCTGTTTTAAAAAGTAGAAAACCCCCATGAATTTCACAAACCAGCAGCAAAACCTCATCATTGTTCAAATCGGTGGTCCTCGCCATACCCCAGGCAGCGGGTATAGCCTTACCTTTGTAAGCTGCCACGTGCTGTGCGTTGGGCTCTATGATTTCGTTGTCAATAAGGACCCCCGGGTGTGCAGACTGCAGTATCCTGATCATTTTCAAATCCTGCTCACCTATTCAATGAACACAAATTCGTTACTTTAGTAAGTACATAAAGGAGATGAGAGGATGGCGGTGCACCTGCCGCCTCTGCTGCCGGAGATCCCCCAAGCAGAAGTGAGGCACTATCTACCTTGCGGCCTGTGTGGTGGCACCTAACCCGGTGATAGGCTTACCGTGACAGCTTACCGCTCGAGGTAACGTATAGTTACAGATAAGACTAAGAACAAGGACGAGATGAGCAACAGCGCAGAAACCTGCTAATGGAAATATTCTGGGTCATGGGACAAGCAGGTCAAAATAATCAGTGTTTAAAAAGCCCAACTAGCAGGAAGCATTAGTTTTCAACCCAAACACAAAGTCTGAATGGGGGCAAGGAGGCAGTAGGCACAGCTGTGCAGCCTCAGCGTGCCACAGACGGCCCCGTGCCTTTGGCACTGCCACGGGGAGGTGATGGCTGCTCTGCTGCTGGTGTGACACCGCTCCGAGACCCGGGGAACTGCAGCGCAAGGGGACAGACCCACTGACATGCAGCACCATGGATCTTCCCTCTTAGGGGCCCATCCACGTGGTCTCAGCTCTGGGTGTCTGCTAACTAGTTGTTATCTTGGAGCTGCAAATAGAGACTCATATATTTGTGTGTAGGTACCCTGCAAATTTAGCTAGTGGTGCTCCTCCATTGCTGTCTGAGCTCTGGAGGATCAAGTGGCAGTCTGTCTTTCTGTCCTAGGAATTTCCCAGCCTCTTTCGAGGTGATGCAGGTCACTTGTTTTCTTCCAGAAGAGCCACAATACATCAAGTGCACAAAGTCCATCTGGTTCGTCTGGGACTATGGAAATAAACAGCAGAGGTGACCAGCTTGAGTTGACCTCTGCACGAATTCTGTCTGTAGCTGATGGTGGGGCCTAAAAATAGTCCTGCCCTTGCAAATGTCACACACAGAGGCCTTGATACAAGATACTGCATCTTCCGTAGCCTTTCAGCTGATGTACCAGCTATGAGAAAAATTGTCATCTTTGGCAGGTGTTGCAGTAAATACCGAGTGCAGGAAATATCAGCCATGCCAGCACTACGGGGCATCCAAGGAGGACAGGTCTTTTGAAATTGGAGAAAAATACCCAAGACCCCTGAGGAATGCAGTGGTCCTGGTGCAGGGCTGGCCAAAGACACAAGGAAAGAGGCTGCAGCTCGATCCATTGAAGGTGGGTGCACGAACTGATATTGTTGACACTGGTATTTGAAGGAAGATCCCTATAGCAAGTAGCTGAATCACTTTAGACAGTCCTAAATGCCAGTAAGTATGTGCCTGGGGTGGGGAGCACCAGCAATTGGGCTCCCCGAAGGGTCAGGGCAGGCAGGAGGCAGAGCATCGCTGCCCCATGCCCTAGGAACCACTGATGGTGGCAAACGGGTATATGGGCAAACAGGGGGTGAACGAGAAAATGTGATGCGGACCTGACAACAGCCTTCTAGGATGTGGAGTCGGCCACTAATCCCCATTAATCTTTTCGTCAACTAAACTAATTCTGGGGGCTCTGTGAAATCAGAGTCCAAGCCTGGAAAGGTCAGGGATCAGATATAACCTTTTGCTCAATGCCATCCTAGATCACTCCCTGCCCGGCCGCACAAGTTCAGCTCGTGCAGCCACGGGCAAGCTGAGGAGGTGTGAGTGTGTACCCCCGTCCCGTCATCTGTCAGGGGCGGTTACCCAGGAAATGTTAGAGTTTTCACTTTTCCATTAAAACATCTTTTGAAGAGGAAATAAGGAAAAATGAGGATGGTGCAAAAAGTTCATTTTTCCCTTGTGTTTTCTTGGAGTCAGAATTTCGGGTTTATATTACTTAATGAAAATAGAGTGTGATTGAGAACTGAATGATTTCTTCCTGCTTGCTTTCTCATATGCTCCAACATATTCCCAGTTGGAGAAAACAATTCAATGCTATTTTTCTCTTACTCAGGAAAACAAGCAAAAAAAGTGAGAAAAATACTTTCATTTGAAAGTATTAACACTTAAAATTCAGCTGAAAATACTTCTTAAAGCAAAAGCAAATTCTGACAAATCAAACTGCCACTTCTTTTTTCTACTTTTTATTTTTCCCAGTTTCCCTAGGAGCAAAGTTGGATGTTTCACCACTTTTTCTTTTGGGTTTTTTTTTGTTTTTTGTTTTTTGTTTTTTGGGTTTTTTTTAAATACAAATGCATTTAGAACAGCTTTATAGCTATTTTTCCAAAAGATGGGTTTCTCTCTAGGGGGAAATATCATTTGCAGTTAAACTCTACTTATCACTGGATAAAAACACAGCAGTAACAAAGAAACACTTCTTGAAAAAGCTGATGCAGCCCCATGTAATGGTTGTGGTCAGATGGTTTTGTACCACTTAGAGCAGAGCATTGCCCAGCTTTGGCCTCTGGGATCCCTAAAAGCCAAGCCAAAAGAGATCCCTTCAGCTGGGACAGTCTAAACAGGACTTTGGGTGGAACAAAGCCCTCGGATGCCTCTAATTCTCTCTGATGAGGTTTGAAGATGCTCTTATACCTAACCCAGGGCAGGACTCCTTGCTCTGAGACATACAAAGTCAAATGAGAGCCATCAAGAAGCAGAGACTAAGCTAAAATCATCACACTCATCTCACTTCTCGGAAAGATTTGAGTAGCAGTGTTTCAGAAAGGGGATGGGGAAGGAAGGGAGGGAGCATCGCCCTCGTCCCGGCTCCACACCCCATTTTGCTGCTTCAACAAGAAACACAGTTATTAAAGCCTGAGTAATTATCCCCATTGCTCAAAATTTCAGTATCACTTTCTGCTGCCCACAGGGACCCTCCATCCCCCAGCACCGGCGGCGCTGCTGAGCTCCTTACCTGTGCCGCTTCCAACTCCCAGAACATTTATAGTCGATTTTCCATTGCCGAGACTGAAATTATAAGCACACATTACTTAACCACACTATGTCACACAACTTCATTTTAATTCTAATACGGTAGATGACACATTGGCCCGGAAATTTTCATGTTTTGCCACGTGAATTGGGATAGAAATTCGAGCATCCCTTTTGGAGCCCAGCTATAACCAGCTGCGTGGTGGGAGCCAGCCCTGAATTAGCAAGCTCATATTTCAAAGTACAGTAGGATATAGGATCAGGACATAGTGTTTCTCATCCTTTGCCAAAGAGTTTTCTTCAAGCTGTGGCTGGCACCGTGCAAAAAGGCCTCGGGGAACCCCAGGGTGAAGGGTTCCTTCTGGGGGTAGCAGGGCTGTGTCTGGCAGGGATGGGCACTGCTGGGGATGCAGGGACGAGGTCAGCCGGAGCGAAACCTCTGCACTCTCAGGAGATAAGTTTGGTTTTCCAACATCGGATATAAATACCCAGAAAAAAGTAAAATATCAGGCTATCCAGGTGACTGGAAATCCTCTCTTTTCAACATTAATCTTGGTTTGAAATTGGGAGGGAAGGTCAGAATCTTCAATAATTTTTATCTTAGAAAAATGACTTTTGAAAAGACCAAAAAAACCCCAATCATGTGGTTCCTAGTAGAATATTTAATAACAGCCTGGCTTGTGGATGAGGAACCCAGGCTCGAGGCGCCTCGCTGCTCTGACATGCTTTATGGTCTTATTCTGTTCTCAGGCACGGACTGTGCAGGGGGATTGAGTTTCCTATGCACAGTCTCAGGAGACACGACAACAATGATTCAGCAAGAGGGGAACGAGTAGTAAATCCTGGAGGGTGTGAGCTAGTCAAGGAGCCTTGGCCCTAATGAGGGTTGACACCCTTTGACAGACCTACAATCAGCATCACAGGAAGCCGCAGTGTTTTGTATCATTTAATATTCACATAACTAAATTTTTCCATTAAAATTTCCGAATATGAATTTTTTTAATTACTATTTTATTGCTTATTTTATATATATATCCATTTATATATAGATATGTATATATATGATCTGGAGAATAAAAATTTGCCTGCCTAAATTTTTTTATCAATGGGAAATACAGTTTCTATAACATCCAGAAATTACCCAAACTTGAAAGGGCTGTTTTGTGGTTAGAATCCAGGCTGTTCCAAAACTATCTGCAGTCATCCAGGCTTAATATATTACATCAGTACTTCACAAAACTGATTATCATTTGGTACTTAAGCAATGCAAATCGACTTAGGATAGAAATAAGGAGGTCTTAGGGGATTGAGAAAACCAAGAATTAGTGCTAGAAGAGAATTAGAGATGTGTTTCTGTTTGGACTGATGTGTGATGAGGTCCCAAAAGCAGGGAGAGAGCACAAGGGAGCTTTATTTTTTTTAAAAAAAAAACAACCCCCCAAAAAAACCAATCAACAACAGCAAAACTTTTAATCCTTGGAAAATCAGCTAATGAAAAGAGATGGACATGAAAATGAGGTCTTGATTCTTTCCTGAACATAAGCTGAGAGGCAGCACAGTGTATTAATTGAAATAGCACGTATTCTGGAGTCATTAAACAGAATATCCTAAAGACCGCTATCAAGGGACTTAAAACTGAAAAGCATTAAAAGTTCATTCCTGCCCCAGAAAATCCTTAAACATGTTTGCTGACCCTTGTATGCAAGTTGCCCTCCCAGGATAACAGATGGCTTTCCCAACTTGGTGGAAGCGCTCCTTACCCAGCCATGATGTTGGGCATTTCTTCCTTGTTGAACTCGTCCATGCACTGGTGCTCTGTTGAATGATCCAAAAATGACTTAAAGGCCTCCACATACTCCTCAGCCGTGAGACTTCTCATGGAAGGGATCACGTACAGCTCTTGAGAAACAAATACGAATTGTGTGTTAGTGGCTTCAAGGCAAGTGAAGGATCAACGCACTTACCTCATGGAAGAAACCCAACCCAACAGAAGCCAGAGGTTTGGGAAGATGGTACAGAGGATGCATGGCCCAGGAGCCGTCCACGCGGGTGGGCTCATGCAAACACTTTCCAACCTGTTCACACATCAACATATTTGTGAAGTGCCTCATTACTACAGGCCAGCCTGAGGAAAATGTCTCCAAAACACTTAGCCAGATATGGGGTACTCGGTTTGCGGAAAGGGAGGTAACTGGAATGTTTTTCTGGAAGACTCGAGGCAAGAAGGTGAAGGGAATCGCACAGCAGGTCCAAACCTGGAGGGGCCGTCACTCGCACACATGCTGGACGGTGTAACTCAAATCGCCAGCTGCTGGCACGCTTGCTATTAGGGGTGATGCAACACAAAAACTGCCACCTGCAGCTGAAGCAAAAATAGTCAACCCCGTGCACCTCATTTCCAACTCTTGCCGGCATGGGACTGCAAATGCGCTGCTGGAGAGGTGAATTCCCTGCTGGGAACTGCAGCTCGTGGCCAGGAGGGCAACTGATAGCAAAAGCATTTCATCTGAATGGGCTCATGCTCAAATGTGGGTGGCTGAGACCAAGATTTCTAGCTCTGAACCAACACCCAGGGCTACTCAAAGGTTGCAAGCAATTATTGCAAAAACTCACTTTCCTGCTGTCTCATCCTAATGTCAGCGCTGCTGCCAGGGCAGAAGCTCTGGCCAGCTGCTTGGGTCTGAGGAGCAGCGATAAGACTGACTTGAGGCTCATGAGAAGATGCCATGCAGCTGAGTACTGGCTCTGGGGTCTATCTCAGAGCGCTGCAGTAGGAAGGCAGTCGTAGCGACAGCCTCAATGCGTGAGACCAGCATTGGAACGGTAGCATTCAATAGGAAAAAAAAAAATCAACATTTCCTCCTAAATGAAATGAGGATGAAGGACAAGACTCAGCAGAACATCTTCATCCTCATTTTTGCCTTTTGAGGAGCTGCTTATGTATCATCTGATTTTTAGTTGCCACTAATAAGATAATTATGTATGTCTCATACAGGACTGCGCAATCTTAAATCTTAAACAGCCTGTGCTGTTTCCAAAACCACACGTCATTGGCAGCTGTGTTTCTGGTAGGTGTGTGTGGAGACGCTATGTCCAGCCCTATCGGAGGTAAAGATATCTACATCTACACTTTGAACTATGCCCTAACATAAACCTGAAATGACCTGAATTGCAGTCAGTTTAGCATCCTGGAATTTGGTTGTTTTTTTTTTTTTTTTTTCTTTTAAACAATCTCTAACTCCAAAAGAATTAAAATACGTTTGTAGTGATAGCAAACTGAGTGGGCATTTTACTTTAATCTCTTTTTTGTGGGTTTGTTGTTTTGGTTTTTTTCTCCCAAATACCTGAATTATCGTGTGGAGCTGTCAGAATCTCTGCTTCAAAGTTCATGCTGGGGAACCTATTCCTGTAAGGAAAGTATAGCACTTCAGTTATTTGAAGAACCTGTACGCTTTTCTGAAGCTGCATTGAAAATGCAGGACAAAAGGAAGATGCTCCAGGACAAATTTTTCTTGCCTGATAATCAATGTTATTTGTTCTCTTTTACTAGACTAAGGAAAGCCAAAACTTTGTGGTTAGCTGATCGCCCGTAAGTATCAGCAACAGACTGGCCACCTGCACCAGTGCTTGTCCGAGATGTGTTGTGGAAGCTTTTCCTACCTCTGAAGAATCATCAAACAGTCAATACAGTGGAAGGCTTTAGACTAACTGATATTACACACTCTGTGAAACATTTAATCATGAATGGAGCAGAAGAAATAGCAGTGAAATTAGGAAAAGCCTATGGTGAGCTTCAGCATCTGAAGTGCTAAAAGATCTGCTTGGCCCAATGTTTCAGGGACTGTTTTGCTTTGGTTTTTTGTTGGTTTTTTTGTTTTTTAACTTCAGGTTTTACTGGCTGCAAATATTACATTGGCAACTTGTAGAAGGTACAGGACGCAACAGGGAACAGTCAAAGAGGTCACTTGACCATAAATGTTCCCATTCAGGCACATGTTTTCATTCTTAGTTTAGGTGGTTTTGTGAAGACTTCCAGCAATGAAGTCACATCTTCATTTTCCTTTGACAACATGCCTCATCTATAAAACAGGGATGAGGTGCCACTAGCAAAAGGAAGGGATGAAATTAAATTGGAGCAAGGACCTCCTTCTGGAAAGAAAGTGTTGAGGAGAGGCTACCTATGCAAGGGAAATAGTCATTTCTGGGTAACCCCATTTCAATATCGAGATGCACAGCAAGACTTAAGGGCGATAGTCCTGTATAACCTGGGTTTAGACACATTGCTGCTCCCAAAGCTTTGCTGTTAGAAAATGCTTCAGGACAAGCAGTCTGCAATAGCAGTAAGTAGCCCCGAGTCCCTTCCGCCAGGATAAAACCTCCCGTGTGAATAAGAAACAAGCTGGAAAAGAAAGAAGGGAGTCTTGTAGAAGGGCTTTGAGATACAAATATGCAATGACCATGCTAGCAGGTAGCAAGGAAGTGGCCATGCGTGCAAATAACGCACTGCTTTGGTTGATGAAGGCAAGAAAAGACTAAGATGGCCCAGAAGTCTCGGAGATGCTGAGGCACTGCCAAAGTCCTGCCAGACCAGTTGATTTCATTTGACTGACTGGCAAAGTCACGTACCTGGCTCCCATGAGGTTCCACCACCTTGACCTCACTTCTCCCCAGAAAAGACCTCACACAAGTTCATCAGTGACAAGCTGAACTCAACCCATCTCCACAAGCTCCAGCTTGGCTGCAGGTCAGTCCCTCCAATTTCCATTCAACCCTCTGACCTCTTCCATCTCTGCCTGTCAGAACACACGGCTATTTTGTCCTCTCAGCTGGCTGAACCGAGCAAGATGGTTTTCAGAATAAATCTCCCATTCAAATGCCGAGGGGTAGCGTGGCTTCCCCTGCACAGAGAGGAACAGCTCTCAGAGTCTGGGGACACGAACTCCATTTCTGACCGGTCAAATGTTTCCAGCCATCACAGGAGACCTGCCAGGTGACCTGGATAGACTGCGGCACAAGTATTCACCAGGGCGGATGATGCCAAGTTAACTCTTCCACCAAGGCTTTTGCCATTTCTCCCCAGGCAGGGTTTCTGAGATTGATTAATGCTTGTTGCTGGGAAGGCGAAACAGACTTAATTATTGCTGGGAACAAATGGACTTCCTCTAAAATCTGGCTTAAAATCTAGCCTAGATCTGAAAACTGACTGCAATACTTTGGGCTGGTGCTGCCCACCCCAGGACCCCGGCAGCCAGCAGCTGGACCGCAGCAGTGACTGCCAGGGAGCGGGATGCTCATGGGCACGACTCCTTCTGCTGTGGCTCCTGGCTAAGTTGGAGCTCACCACTAGCCAGGTTAAACATCTCCCCCTCCACGAACTGAGCAGGCTGCGCTACAGACAGCACGTGCAGGGCACGGAGGGAATTCACTGTGTCACTTTGATACAGCACCTTTAAGTTGAAAAAAAAGTCATTAAATTCAAGATGTTTCTAGCAACACAAATTGCAAGAACATCTTCCTAACTCATAATTTGGTTACACCTAAACATAGGCTGCTACGGGGCTAAAGGTCTCCTCACAAAGGCCAGCTTAGCCCCCTCCCTCTGAGGACGGGGCGCATTGCTGTTACTCCCACCTTACACACGTCCACCCGTGACACAGGGACAGCGGCGGCTGGCTCTGCCACCCAGCCGGATGGTGGGGAAACGCGCACCCTCGCTCCCTTCCAAAATCCACGTACCTCTTCATCTCCGGGGCCGGGTCCATGGTTGGGGCGGGTGCCGTGCCGGGACACGGCAGCCAGGCACGGGGCTGGGGGTTATCCAGGCACCTGGTCCCTACGTGAGCATGTCCACCTG